TCAGCCACAGCTTGTCATAAAAAATCTTACTGATAGTGTATTTAACAAACTTAAACTAGCTTTATTAAATGTCAGGTCTTTGGCAGGAAAAACATTTTTAATCAATGATTTTATCACTGAGCACAATCTCGATTTTATGTTTTTAACGGAAACTTGGATTGAACAAAATAACAGTGCAGCTGTTCTTATCGAATCAACACCTCCCAACTTTAGTTTTATGAGTCAGGAAAGAATGCATAAGAAAGGGGGTGGAGTTGCTATTTTGTTCAATGATTCCATTCATTGCAGGAAGACATCTTATGGGGACTTTGCTTCTTTTGAATATGTGGCCCTTCAGCTGAAATGCTCCTCTCGAGCTCTGTTCCTAAATATCTATAGACCACCCAAATACTGTGCAAGCTTTTTTGATGATTTTACTGAACTGCTGTCTATAGTGTGTATTGACTTTGACCGTCTAGTCATTGTTGGTGATTTTAACATCCATGTTGACAACCCCCAGGACAGAGGGGCTAAAGAACTGTTTTGTGTTCTTGATAACTATGGACTGACTCAGCATGTGGCGGAGCCCACGCACAATAAGGGGCACACTCTGGACTTAATTATCTCAAAGGGTCTGAATATCTCAAAGGTTGTGGTGACTGATGTTGCACTCTCTGATCATTCCTGTGTTTTCTTTGAGAGCTCTATTTCTGTTCAGAAAAATGTTCAGAAAGAGGTAACCACAAAGCGATATTTAACTGAAAATACTAGGAAAATGTTTACTCATAATTTTTCATCCACACTTGCCCCTGCTAACATCTCAGTAAATGAGCTAGTAGATCATTTTAATTCAAAAATTAAAAATGTTATAGATACCATTGCTCCAACTAAGGTAAAGGAAGTGATTGGCAAGAAAATATCTCCATGGAGAAAGGCCATGACCGTGAGAACAGAAAAAAGAGTGTCGAAAAGCTGAACGTAGGTGGCGAAAAACAAATCTCCAGGTTCACTTTGAAATCTATAAAGAGAGACTTGGCCTTTATAATTTGGAATTGAAAAACGCACGACAGTCTTTCTTCTCTGACATCATTACCAAAAACAAAAACAACGCACGTGCCTTGTTTGCTACCGTCGACAGACTAACTAACCCCCCAGTGTCAGTAGCCTCTGAATTTCTATCCACCAGGGCGTGCAATGATTTTGCCTCCTTCTTCACTGACAAAATTCAGAAAATTAGACAAGCAGTCAGTGCCTCTGCATCAGGTACAGCAAATGTGTTGTCCCTATGTCCACCTAATATCAATTCAAACACCATGACACAATTCCATCAGATTAATGATAAAAACTTAGAGGACATTATTCAACTTCTGAAATCCTCCTCCTGCTGCCTTGATATTATTCCAACAGGATTTTTCAAAGATGTTTTTCCTTGCATGGCCTCAGATCTACTTCATATAGTAAACACATCTCTTCACTCAGGTATTTTTCCAGAGGCCCTGAAAACTGCAGTCATTAAACCGCTCTTAAAAAAGAATAATCTAGATGCTTCAGTAATGAACAATTACAGGCCAATATCAAACCTGCCATTTCTAGGTAAAATCATTGAAAAAGTTGTATTTCAACAGTTGAGTAACTTCTTGCATTTAAATAACTCTTTGGATGTGTTCCAGTCAGGATTTCGTCCAAACCACAGCACTGAGACTGCTCTTGTAAAGGTCTTCAATGACATCCACTTAAACACAGACAGTGGCAGAACTTCAGTGTTAGTATTATTAGATCTCAGTGCTGCGTTTGACACTGTTGACCACAACATATTACTAGATCGACTAGAAAACTGGGTGGGACTTTCGGCAACAGTTCTAAATTGGTTTGAGTCCTACTTAAAGGACAGAAAAAACTTTGTTTCTATAGGTAAATACACATCTGAGTTGACAAATATGACATGTGGGGTACCTCAAGGCTCCATCTTGGGGCCTCTTCTCTTTAACATCTACATGCTACCACTGGCTCAGATAATGAAAAACAACAAAATAAGTTACCATAGCTATGCGGATGACACACAAATGTACGTAACAATGAGTAAGTGCATTGAACAAATCAATGACTGGATGTGTCAGAACTTTCTCCAATTAAACAAAGATAAAACTGAGGTAATGGTTTTTGGAGCCAAGGCAGAACGTATAAAAGTTAGCGCTGAGCTTCAGTCTGCAATGTTCAAAACAACAGATAAAGCCAGAAATCTAGGTGTAGTCATGGACTCTGACCTGAGTTTCAACAGTCACATTAAAACAGTTACTAAATCAGCCTACTATCACCTAAAGAACATATCTAGGATTAAAAGACTAATGTCACAGCAGGATTTGGAAAAACTTGTCCATGCTTTTATCTTCAGTAGACTCGACTACTGCAATGGTGTCTTTACAGGTCTCACTAAAAAATCTATTAGAAAGCTGCAGCTAATTCAGAACGCCGCTGCTCGAGTCCTCACTAACACTAAGAAAGTGGATCACATCACTCCTGTTCTGAAGTCCTTACACTGGCTTCCTGTGTGTCAAAGAATAGATATTGTCGCTGGTTTATAAAGCTTTGAATGGTTTAGGCCCAAAATACATGTCTGACCTCCTGCTAAATTATGAACCATCCAGAACTCTCAGGTCTTCAGGGACTGGTCAGCTTTCTTCCCCCAGAGTCAGAACTAAACATGGTAAAGCAGCATTCAGTTATTATGCTCCAAATATCTGGAACAAACTCCCAGAAACCTGCAGGTCCGCTGCAACTCTTACTACTTTTAAATCCAGGCTGAAGACTTTTCTTTTTGCCGCTGCTTTTAATTGAACTATTCACATCTTAAACTGCACTGTAACTTTTATCCATGTATTTTTTCTTTTAATGTTTATTTTATTATCTTTTCTTTTTAATGACTGATTTTAAATACCATTTTCTTAATGTCTTCCATTTTTGTAAAGCACTTCGAATTGCCTTGTGTTGAAAGGTCCTATATAAATAAACGTGCCTTGCCTTGCCTTGCCTTGATTTGATTAAAAAGAGATGTCGATCATCAAAATCGACCAATGGGTTCCAGAGAAACGGCAAAAACGCCCATTTCCACCCAAATGACCCCAGAGGTGGGTTTTTTTTGCTAAACCTCTCTAAAAAGGTCAAATGTCACTTGTTTTGCATCAATCTTGATAAAGAACTTATTATATGTTGTACTTTGGATTCCTAAAGCTTTTAGTCTACTAACCCATCATCCAAGGGTAGTTTTCACTATAAGTAAAAAATAATTTTTGGACGGACACTATAATTTACAGTTTTTTACTATGTTCAATCTGAATTTTCTTTAAAATAAAAAACATCTATATTGATTCTGACTTTTCTACATCCAACTCACAGGTTTATCATTGCTTTGAGAAAAAAGATGATTAATCTTCCACTTTTAGAAGTGTAGTTATGGTCATTTGTTCTGGGAATGTCATTTTCGAGCCTGAGACCTGAAAAACAGGCTCAGTGCTTAACAGGTTAACAGGTTAACCTGTTAAGGGTTAGGGTTAAGTGTGTGTGTGTGTGTGTGTGTGTGTGTGTGTGTGTGTTTAGTTAATTTTGCACCTTTCTTAATTTATCACTTTATTTTTAGTTGCTGTGGCGGTACAGGGCACGTGTGAGTGGCGGTGAGTAATATTTCGATTTTACCTGCTTGTTTCCCCTCCCAACAGTAACTGTCTGTGCTCATTTAGTCAGTTTTTATAGGCTGGATACCATTTTAAATAGCATTCTTGGTGGAGATTAATTCATAATAAATTGTTGTTTTTACTGGTTAAAGTATTGTTTGTAAACGTGTCTGATATTAATAAATAAATATCATACTCTTGGGAATAAATCGTTGTCTTGAACCTTTTTGTTGACTGCCAACTGTATCATGTTTTTAATTCAATCTGTGGAGTTTTGCTGTTTGATACATTTTAATTAAAGGGCAAATTTGATCAGTAGAACAGCTACATTTTAGGCTGTGTGCACGGCCGCGGTCACACTGGTTCTCTTGCTCAGTACAAAGCGGGGATTAGGGGCTGAATGTCCGCTGGATTGGCGAGGCATTGAGCCAACACTGATTGTTAATCCTCACAGACTATTGCACTTCACTGATTACTATCTTGGCCTCTTCCTCTTCCCATTGTCCAGCCGTGCTTTGCATCCCTCACCACTCTATTGCGATCTAATCAGGAGGAAAAGGCAAACGTGTTTTGTCTATCTGCTGTCCTGCACAGGCAGAAGAGAGTAAAGTAAGATCTGACAAGAGGGGAAGTATTAAGAGGCTAGATGAGATACCACCCAGGGCGGAGGACAATCCTGAGCCCGGACAAGTAATTTGAATAACAGTAATTAACTTGAATCCCAAAGATGCACTGGTTATCAATTCCTATAGGGACATCAACAAGTTGCTTCATGTTTATAGTGCACACTGGACACTCATTGTTCACACTCTTAATTATCTTTATTTATTTATCCATGTATACTGACTTTGCATTATTTTGTATGACAATCATTAAGAAAAGAAAAAACACATGTTGTGCATGCAAATTATTAATACACGATTAAAGGAAATATTTGAACGAATTCCTTGATAAATCAGGTACCACAATAAAACAATGACACTCCCTAACTGATCAGAACTATCACTTTTACATTTTTGAACAAAACTGCTACACAAAAGCTCTTTTTCAGATTGACAGTGAAAGCAGATGACATACACATCAGAGCTGTGCCTGAATCTTATGAAGACACACGCACACACGCACACACGCACGCACGCACACACACACGCACACACACACACACACACACACACACACACACACACACACACACACACACACACACACACACACACACACACACACACACACACACACACACACACACACACACACACACACACACACACACACACACACACACACACACACACCACACACGCACACACCTGGCCATGATGGTTTGTTTCGTCAGATTCCTGACACACTCACCTACAGGCAGACTCTTGCCGTGGATCTTGTCGGCCCAGCCTGCGTAGTAACGCAGAGTTTTGATACTGCCGTCCAGGTCAACAAAAAAAGACTGCAGGAAGGGCTTCCCTGTGTCCAGGGTCTCCAGAGTCTAAAAAGTCAGGACCAAATAGCATCACTAGCAAGTTGATGTTTAGCTGAACTCTTGGACTCTGAAGAAATGTGATCTGTGGCTGTAACTTTAAATGATGCACGGGTGCCCAATTATAGAGCTTTGAGTTAAATATTTTTGGAAACAAACACCCTGATTAATCAAACTTATTCAGAAGATAACATTTCTGTGAATTTCAGTCTGACATTTAAATAAAGTGGTCTAGAGAGTCAGGAGAAACCTTTCTGAAATGGAAAGCTGTAAAAGGCTAAGACATGTGCTTTTCTTTCATTTTGAAGTGTTGGTAATTCCCTGTAGCTTCCAGGCCTCCTCTTGCAAAGCTTGGTTTTATTTCTGCTGTACAATACGTAAGTGATGTATAGTATACATATGTTGCTTCCACATACATTAATACAAATAATAATATATTTTGTATTCCTATTTGTATGTTTGAATGTGTCAGATGGGAATAATGTTATTGTGTATCTGCAAGTATGCTGGAGTTATTCTATTGTAAAAGGCAGTGGCGAGCCGTCAGGGCCCTCTAGGCCCTCTGAGGGCCTAAGATATTCTACAAAATAATATTTAAAAACATTAAAAAAAAAAATCTGCCTATTCAGTTTCTGTTTGAATGTGAAGGGTTAAATGAAAGAAGCTCCTTTAGCCGTCTCTGCGAGTTACTGTGAAGACAGGAGCTGATTGGTGGTCCTGCTATAAATTCACAGAGGGCCAGCTATAGTATCTGAACGAGAGAGTAATGTCAAATGACAGTACAATTGACCAATCATATCTTCCCTCTAAATGGGTGGGTTTTATTATCGCGGACTTTATGACAAGTTCTGCCCGCTGTGAAGCTTTTCTTGTTTCCATAGCAACAACAACTTCCTGTCAACAGCCTAAACTCGCCTTCAAAATAAAAGCATGCCAAATTACACTTAAGACATAGAACTGCAACGAAAGTAACAAACACAATGCAATACAATATCCTTTTCAATTTCAAAGAACACAAATTGGGTTATTTACAGGTGTTGTTTTGTGTGTTAGAGGGTCGCTTTCATTGATGCGTTTTGCACCCCGGGCCGAATGAACATTTCGACTGTACCTTGGCAATTAAGTTATTGCTGAAAAAAACTTGGAAAAAAAGACACAAAAAGACTTTTTAGTTTTTAGTTAGTTAATTTAGGCCTTGTAACTGACTCACCAGCTCTTACTATGGTATGATCTTGCTTGAGGTGAATATATCTGCATCTGCAGGTTTTTGCACTTATTGTTAGTCAGCTAAATTATATGTAATGTAATGAGAACTTGGGCTCTGCAGCTAGCAGATAATGAAACCACTGTGCTACTTGACCGAACCTTAAAAACTCAGAATCTATTCTTTATTTCCCCAAACAGAGCTGGGAATTTAGTTCAGCCATACCCTGCTAACTGCCATTACAGAGCATGTTTGCAATTAGCAGTCACATGCAATCTGGTATTATTTCTTGACTCACATCTGTAAGGCTTCATTTACAGATCTAAGACTTAATGCAAGCTGGCAGCTCTACATAATTCCCAACAGTATCTGAAAGAAAGGGAGAATAACATCCAGGAATCATTACTAAGAGAAGAAAATAGTCTGGGGCGGGGTCACAATGTAATGATGTCATGATATGACATACTGTATGCCAGCGACGTGCAGTCAGGGGAGGCAGGGGACGCAGAGCCTCACCTGTCATACTCCAATGTAACGGAAAAACAACTAAAGAAAAACTAAATAGTAATAATAATAAAATGTCTCCACTGATCTGTGTTGTAAGTGTGATTTATGTATGATTCCAATCGCTTTTTATTGTCAAAATCAGCAAATTTGCCGAGCTCCGCTACGGGAGCGATGAGGAGTGAGGCAGGGACGAGCTCTGCCTCTCGTAAGCCCACAGTAACTTGCTGGAGCGCGGGCACTAATTTAGCGCGGGCACTTATTTTGTGAGCGCGCTCAAGCCAGTTACTGTGGGGTAAGGTGAGGCACAGATGAGCTCTGCCTCACCTCAGAATGCGTCACCCCACAGAAACTGGCTGGAAAGCGGGCCCTAAGCGCATGCCTGTTACCATCTCACTGTAGGTCACCAATGTAATGTTTGTAGATCCCTTTATTACATTTATCCTCGCCATCCATAGTCTCTAAATAACTTATTTCACGTATATATGATATTTAGGCTCGCTGGTCTCATCATACAACGGCAATGAAAAAAGCACCAGGGGAGGCAGCCATAACCTCTGCCGCACTGAAGGGGGCGCACGTGAGCCCACAGGTTCTTGTTGCTACTGTTATTCTACGCAGAGACGGTAGACGCAAACAACAAACTAGACTTTTGAAACTACAGGAAGATAAGGAGGACTTTTACAAAAAAGCAATAGAGATTGTTGTCCAGAAGGATAGCATGGACTTCATCTTCAAGTCAAGGTAAGACCACATTTGTAATGAAAATGGGATCTTACTAAGAAAGAACAATCCAATATTTAGATTTTGGGTATCCTTTTGTTGAACGGTCTGTTTAAAATGAATCGAAGCATCAGACTAAAAAAAGCTTTTGAAAATAACCGAATATTTAGATTAAAGTCAAAATATAATATTTGTAAATCTGACTCAGTGAGTCAGTGCCTCACCAGCCATGAACCTCACCGCACGTCACTGCTGTATGCCCTACTGTATGCAAATCCCTGATATGAATAAGATAACATACTAACTGCACAGATGCAGTAAAACCCCATAAGTGAGATGCTTCTGAAAAGCACTTGCTTCTTTCAATGAGATATATTGTTATGAATTTTATCTAGATTCCACCGGGTCCGTCTGCGCGGCGTTACGGCCGCGTTACGGCCGCGTTACGGCCGCATTACGGCCGCATTACGGCCTCGTTACGGCCGTGTTACGGCTGCGCCGCGGCGTTCACCGCGATCGCGGCCTCTCTAGTCAATGGGTGCTATTCCACCAGACGCACCGCATTACGGCTCAGAAGCGTCCCAGAAGCGTCTCGGCGCTGGGCTCCGCTAAAAATAGGATGCGGGTCTATTTTCGACGCAACGCAAGGCATTGCATAGCGCCGGGCAGGAAGTGGACCGGTCAGAGCATCCAGTCAATCCCCAAAATAAACAAATTTTGCAGACCCTATCCCTCCATAGTCTTTCGAGTAGGAGGAGAAATGCCAGCGTTCTCCTCCGTTTTACAGGCACTGTGTAAATTATATATATGGAATAATTATGATGATGAATGCATTTTTTTACCACTAAAATACAGCAACACATCTTTGATTTATGTCGTTTATAACTGGAATATTACAACTATTATTAACTTTGTCTGTACAAAGTAGCCTGTCCAGGAAATATGCCCAAATCACCAAAAACTGCGAGCCGGACGGACCCGGTGGAATCGAGGGGTTAGAAGGAAGAAATCAGCAGTAGTGAATAGTAACTTAATACATTTACTAAGGTTATTTAAGTAACTAAATACAGTTCCGATAATCTGGTTAAGTATTTCTGTGTTATGCTATAGGCTACGCTTTATGCCTCAAGGACAATAACCATCACTTTTTAGTGTACAGTACAGTTCAGAGATAAATATTGTACTTTATTAGCCGAATAAGATTTATAAAATAACAAATAATATAAAATATGATGCATTTAAATGCAAATAATCAGTATAAAAATACTTTTAACCCTCACTAGAGCAATTAATTAAAGTGAATGTATCAGTTATAATAAACACATTCTGTTCTGCTGCATAATGACTATATTAATATACACTTTGCTTGTAATGGCTCTGTACAGTACCTTTACTGCAGAGGAACTTTGAGTGCAAGACTTTTGAATTTCATACAGAATTTGAATACATCATGACATCAAATATTGATTCCAAGTTCTGGAATCAGTCAATATGTAGTTTGATGTTATCCATTAAGACTGTTTAAAACGTTTTTGTCTTTCATTTACAGGATAGCAGGAGTACAGAATAGCAGTGCGTCCTAAAAATGAAAATTCAAAATGATTCTGTATTTCTTAAACTGTATACGTCCATCATATGCAAATTAAAGACAATTAGATGTTAAGGGAGCACGTTGCTAAAGAGCAGCTGTGTAGGCTGCTGTGTGTGCTGTGTACATGTGCATGTGTGAGGCGAATAAAGAGGGCTTGATTTTAATCACCGCCAGCAGCCGCCGGTCCCTCTCCATCAGGTCGGCCAGTGCGTGCAGCAGCCTTCCCCGGCTGGACGCATCCATCCTCCGCCACGGAGAGCTCCTCTGCTGGGCCGCCTTGGCCGCCTGCACCGCCTTGTCCACATCTGTCTATGCGGACATGAGGCACCATGAAGTGGAAACAGTCAGGACACAGATCCCCGTATCAACACAGAAAGGCTGTAACACTCTGGCTGTGCGTGACTTTCTGAAATGTTTGACGTTTGTATTTTATAATGTTAAAAGCATGTAAACGGAATGGATTAATAATAACACATTTTGTCTTGAAATATTTCAACTCCCAAGTTACCTCCATTTATCAAAATGTCCAGTGGCGAGCAGTAACAAAGCTATTTTGTAGATATAAAACGTGAAGTGAAGATACAATAAGCAAAAGAAAAATATTCAAAAATGTTTGTTTGAGTTCTGAGGTTATGCAGAGTTAACAGATATTGAAATGGCCAAAAACAGATAATAATCTCTTGGTAATTCAGTGTAACAGTATGTAAACCTAAACTTATTTCATTAATAAAATCCAGCCTGCCAGATTCTTACCTTGTCTGCTTCTTCCACATCACATATTTTGACACCTGTCGCCGGGTTGAAAGTTGGAAAAGTCCTTCCACTGCTAGATGAGTGCCATTCATTGCCGATAAAGATCTGTGGGAGGAGAAGAGTGTGCACAGGCTTTGGTGTGTGCTTCACAGGCACCTAAATATAACTATCATCATCAAAATATAAAGTAAAAGTTCTTAGCCATGTCTGAATCAGGTGACCCCCCACCTTACCTTAGTGTGTCTGATCTCCTGAGCTGTGACAGGGGCAGGTAAAGCTGGGATATCTTCAGCCACTCCGTTCTCTGGGGTTCCGTTCTGTGCCATTCTGGCTCAGCAGTCCAGTCTACTGCAATGTGAGCCCATCCACTAGCTCTTATAGGACTGTGGAGGTCCTCCCTCCTCACACAGCAGCTCCGCCCTCAGCTCACACATGAGGGGGTTCTACTCTTACAGCCATGGGACACTCTTCCATGCACCTGCTGTTACATACCTACTTAAAATGTCCAGTCATGACTCATGACGCGGGAAATACATGTAGTGCATTTTTTTTTGTATTTTAACTGGTAAGATGAGCAAGCATTCACAAGCTGTCTGTGGGGTACCTTTCAAAGAGCAAAAGGAAACCAGAGGTAAAATGTCCCACTCGTCTTTCAGTCCAGGCAGTGAAAGTAGCAAGACTGAGTTCATTCTGCTGCACATTGACATAACAGCACAGCGGCTCTGTCTGCTTCTGTGGAGCGACTGCAGGCTGCTCATCAAAGCTCTATAAGTTGTAGGTCTTTGCACCTGGGCCTGGTGAAGCTGAATGGATTTGAACACATGCAAACACATGATTTTGTTCTTGAGGACAAAGCTGCTTGCCTGCTCCGGGCTTGCACTCATACACAGTCTGCTATTGTTTCCCCTTCATCACTTCATGTGTCAAAGTTATGTCAACGTTTAATTAGGACAACAGGCTTTCGCAGGCTAATTTCTCACTTTCTAACACTTCATGATGAGAGAGAGAGACTCAAAGGGACAGTGCGGGGGGGGGGGGAGTACTTGGCAGGTTATGCCAGGAAACAATACGAAATGCAAAGCATGGGCCAAGACCCATGCAAATAAGCAGCAACCTGCACTATAGCTGAACAAGGTTTAACAGCATGTGAGAGATCAACACAGCCACCATGAATGTTCTAGGTTTGACCATCAAAAAAGTCTTCTTTCGAGTTCAAATGTTTGTTTTTTTGTTAAATTGTATCAACTGTAGAAAAAAAAACATTTGTTTGGGCCTTTTCTCAGTGGATTAACCCACATTTTGTTCTATAGGGAGTATTTGTGGCAGCAAGTGATTTATGTGGGATTGAGTTAAAATAAAGTACAGTGTGTGTGTTCAAGAGTGTTTGTTCATTGTAATACTGGAAAATGTCCCCCAGTGCAAGAGTTTTTTTAACAACAATGGACCTCTATGGCTCAGAGGAAGACGATAAATCAGGCTGTTATACTGACTCAGAACTGTTTCTATTGGGTTTAACAATGATTGGATAACAAGTACGAGCTGTCTGAGTTTTGTGATTTTTTTTTTAACTTTGTGTTCCCAAAACGCTTTGTTCCCTTCCGAAATATTTCAAAAATAAATGTACTAATGGCTCAAGCGTCAAATAATGTCATTTTAATGTATAATTTGTAATATAATTGCATACAATAAAATATATGAGATACTTTAAAACGTAGTGTATTTATATTTCACATTCATAAATGACCCTTTTGTCAGGCATTTATTGAATTGTGTGTTGGGTAATATGACTCAGGAAGCTGTGAGTGTAACAGCAGCTCTTCTTCTGTACTTCTTCCGCCATTACAGCCTCCAGGCGGAGAAATTAACAACCAACAGGGGATGATGCACTTCGCCCATGCAGAACTTAAAACCTCTGAGTAGGTGGTTGAGTGTGTGGGAGTTTGTGTATGAGTTCTTAAAGAGAATGTTACTTGAAATTCTAGTTTCAATTTGATGTTCTTGCCGATTGTTTCAACTTATTGATTCTGAATATCTCATCTGGAGAATAAATGTACCCTGGGATATCATTCAAGAAACCTTAACCTGTTAAGCCCTGAGCCTGTTTTTTAGGTCTCAGGCTCGAAAATGACATTCCCAGAACAAATGACCATATCTTCCCTTCTAAAAGGGTTAAATTAATAATGTTTTTTCTCAAAGTAATGATAAACCTGTGTGTTGGATGTAGAAAAGTCAGAATCAATATAGATGTTTTTTATTTTAAAGAAAATTCAGATTGAACATAGTAAAAAACTGTAAATTATAGTGTCCGTCCAAATATTATATTTTACTTATAGTGAAAACTACCCTTGGATGATGGTAAGGTAGACTAAAAGCTTTAGGAATCCAAAGTACAACATATAATAAGTACCCTGTATCAAGATTGATGCAAAACAAGTGAAATCTGATCTTTTCAGAGATATTTAGCAAAATAAAACCACTTCTGGGGTCATTTGGGTGGATTTTCCATATCTCTGGCCCCCCTTTGTCAATGTTGACGAATGAAATCTCTTTCTGACCGTTAGAGCCAATAGAATCGAAGGGGAATTTCCCCACACACACACATGGTAAAAAAAAGGTGGGGGCTTCGTGCATGCAGTTTTGCATCAGAGCGAACCTATCTCTCGCTCTGACATCTGGAAACGGAAAAGCAGTTTTATTGCTTATGGATTATCAGAAATCATTTCAAAGGGACACAGACACATTGGATTAACCTATGGATTAACTTCAGCAGCGTTTTTATTGTTTTAATGCCATTGAAGACCACTTTTGACCAGACTACGACACAGGTAAGCCATGTTAGTGTTTTTAGCTACCTAGCGCCACATGTTTTGATGTCTGTTTTTGTTTATAAAGTCGCGAGTTCGTATCATAGAGTGATAATGTATGTACCCATCGATTCTGTGTCATCTCACGATCAGATCGATGGGTTGGATGCGCAGAAAAGATAAATAATAAGGTTTTATGAGTGAGTTTCGGTGCAGTAAATCTGTTAGCATCTTTCGCTCGTTGCTAATTCAGAGGTTCAGCGTTAGCATTGTGGGGTTTAAAAAAACAAAAATGATCAGTTAGATGAGTTTCTTCCTGTTACATGGATATAAAACATTCATAGTTTATTAAATGAACATGCCCTCAGACACTGATTCCTGCAAGATGTTGCGGGAAGGCCCCGGTACCGGGGTCTCTCGGGCTTAACAGGTTAAGAAACATTGTCTATGCAGGAGGGGAAACTATATTGTAGAAAGTCACGTAAACATTAGAAGTACAATTTTTTTTAAACCTAATTTATGTATATATCATTAACACTTGCAAAAGCTACTTCAACATGATGCATAATGGACCAAGGTGCATAACATCCATGGCCGGAACAAAAAACAGTACAGCGTAAATCATTATAAATGAATTAACTTGGTGACCTAGACCTATAAACCAGCATAAGTAGTCAATATGATATAAACAAATAATGATGATGTATTTTGATGTGGTGTTACTGTCATATATATGCTCATTTATACATAAAGACATATAATAAATACCTGTTATAAATACCTAGGTATCTGGCTTGATGATTGTCTTCCTTTCAAACTTCATGTCAATAACCTGCTTAAAAAACTGAGGGTTAGGCTAGGTTTCTTTTTCAGAAACAAGTCCTGTTTCTCACTTGAGGCCAGGAAAAGGCTAGTCACTGTGACCTTTTTACCTGTGCTGGACTATGGTGATTTGTTGTATATGAATGCACCTGCCCATTGCCTGAACAAGTTAGATGCCGCCTATCACAGCGCACTGAGATTTGTTACTAACTGTAAAGCACTTACTCATCACTGTACCCTGTATGCCAAGGCAGGTTTGCCATCACTTACTGTACGGAGGCTCAGTCATTGGTACACGTTTATTTATAAAGCTTTGTTGGGTAAACTCCCGTATTATATCTGCTCTCTGATAACACAGAGAGTTGCAAGCAGCTATTGACTGAGATTGCATGATGTAGTATTGTTAGATGTGCCAAGAGCAAGGACTGTCTTAGGTAAGACAGCTTTTATGTGCTCCACTTGCTTGGAACAATCTTCAGCAAGAATTGAAACTGAGCAATCTCATTCCTCTGCATGTTTTTAAAGCTAGGCTAAATGAAATGCTCGTTGATACTATGGGTACTTGTAAATGTCTATAACTATGTAAATGTATCCTGTAAATATAATGTATGATGTCTTTTATTGTTTTATGTTTCATGTGGAACCTATATGCTGCAGGTCTCCCTTGAAAAAGAGATATATGATCTCAATTGGACCAATCTGGTTAAATAAAGGTTTGAAATGAAATGAAATGAAATAATATTAATGATGTTTTTTTCTTAACACTCAACACTTAATACACTCAACAACAAGAAAATGTACAGCCGCAACATGAGTTTGAGTGAATTCAGAATAATTAAAAAACAACTAAATTAAAAGCCAAAGAAGCTATGAACTAAATGTATAACAATTAAAACAAGAAATAAAGAAATAATACAAATGTAATTAGTTCAAGGCATGGGATTCATTCCAAGGAAATAAATGATATCCTTTCTTTAAGGATATCTTTTATTTGAATAAAATGTATTTTAATGTTTAAACAAATTAAATTAATATGAATGACTCCTTTCAGAGACTTGTTAATCAAAAATCAGAGAGAGAGAGAGAGAGAGAGAGAGAGAGAGAGAGAGAGAGAGAGAGAGAGAGAGAGAGAGAGAGAGAGAAGAGAGAGAGAGAGAAGAGAGAGAGAGAGCGAGAGCTCTGTCCAGGTGTTCACAGCCAAACAAAGGCTCTTTTCAGGCCTGATGAGAACAAACTGCTCCTGCACTTGTTGCAAAATATACACGCAAGATAAAAGAGCCCAACTCAGAGAGAAGCTTATCTTCTGTTACCGTACCAACATTTGGACCACGGGAAAGCTTACCCAATTACATGAGCCTCACTGCTGCCAGTAAACAATAGTGAGAGCTGAGGTCAGATCTCTGAACAATTATAATACTTAAACAGTCGCAGTAAGTATCATTTGTTTAAAAGTTCTTGCAGGATCTAATTTGAAAGATACTTAGGAGAGAGGCAAGTGTGGGTAAATAAGGCTACAGTACAGCAAACCTTGCCTTATCGAAATGTCGTCTGTGTACAACTAATTTGTTACATTAAAAGAAACATAATACCAGTGGCGGCTGGTGGAATTTTTGCTAGTTAGGGCTGTGCCACATGCAATCAATTTCAGCAAACATCCCAGTATGACTTAATGCAAAAACAACCAGGAGTTTTCAGTGTTC